AAATACATGAACGTGGAGTATTGGAGGCATGAGCTTTGGTTTTTTAGGGAGAGGTGGCAGGAAGCAGAAGACATTCTGGCGAATGGCTCGTTTGGCTGCTTGATATACCCACGTCTTCCATTAAAACCCTTGATTTGCCTCAGTGCTTGAGTCTCACAGAGCATCTCTTGTTTCTTTGCTTAGCCTTCTGTTCCATTGGGTTTCCATGCTTTAGGAAGATCCCTTATTCCCAAGGGTGAGGTGACACCCACACCCCCTATACTTACCTACTCTTACACTCATCTCTCTAATTGGAGGGCTTTGTCAAGGACTGGGTAGAGCTGGAAATGGACACATGTCACACACCTAAGGTGTTTGTTTGTTTGTTCTTTCCTGCCCTTTGCTTTTCTGGTGTTCTACTGCAACTTATGAGCCAAACCCAATTTTATTTTGTTGACACCAGACTTCCAAAACTTTGATTTATGCTGTGAAGGTTTAAGAGGGTATGTTGGAGTTTTCCCTTCCTCATTTCTCCATCCAGAAAAAAAAAATCCAGAATTGAATCCTACATCCACAAATTAACTATAATATCACCATCATCAGTGGTAGTTTTATTTAGGTATTTAATAACCTCAAGTTATTGATCGTGGGTTGGGGAAGGCAACTCAAGAGTTAGGGCTCTAAATATGCTAATACATTGACATTATTTTGTTTTTCTAACATCATTCTTTGTTGTTTGTTGTTTTTTGTTTTTTGTTTTGTTGTATTTTATTTTTTTTGAGATAGGCTCTCTCTGTAGCTCAGGCTGGCCTCAATGTCTGCACTTCTGCTTCAGCATCCTAAGTGCTGGTATTATAGTTAGGAACCATCAGACCTAGTTTATATAGAAATATGAGTGAAGGTGACAGACTTATATATTTTATTTTAACACTAGCTTACTCCATTCCAGAAATGGGGAGGGTATGTACTTTCAATTTGGCATTCCACATTGCACTTACTAAGCATTTATTATCCTTTTACTGGATACAAACTCTTGAACCAGAATGTACATAGATGATAAAATACTTTTAATTCAACAAGATAAGTGTTGTATAGCAGAGGAAATGAAACATTAAGAGGGATTTTCCCCCACTGTATATTTAAAGAATAAATCCATTTGGTTGTGTTTAATCTGTGTCTGGGTATCTGCCCAGGTAATTGCTTCAAATATACTTTTAACCACATGTCAGCATTTATAAACCACTACACCCAGTAATCAAGTAAGAAAATGTACATATTTTCCACTCTATGAGATTAAAAGAAATCTAATGAAAAGATGTGCTCCTTGCCCTTGAGACTGACCATGTGACTTTGTGGCACAGGATAGCTGTGTTGTCATCAGCAGGCATGGGAAGAAAAGCAGAAAAGAACAGAGACACAGGCAGTGACTCCAAAACTCTTATCCTGAGGATATGGATGGGCATTGACTTGCTCATTTCACACAACTACTGTTACTGGGCTGGGCGGGAAGAACATTGTTTGTGGGCTATCTGGATGGAGTGTTATAAATAGCTTTTAGTAGGCACTGCATGTTTGGAGTTTACCCAGAATAGGCAGTATTCTGTGTGTAGTGTCATGGAGAGAGAGAGAGAGAGAGAGAGAGAGAGAGAGAGAGAGAGAGAGAGGAGAGAGAGAGAGAGGATAGTCTTGGGTTCCAGTCCTCCTGAAGGACTACCCACATTGTTATTTTTCAGGAGTGCCCTCTCATGGTCTTATGCTAGCTAGTTAAATTTAACTGGCTAACTAGCAAACATCAACTATCTGCTTCTGCCGTTTCAGTGCTGAGACAATAAGCCTGCACTATTTTGACTGGTTTTTATTTGATTTTAAATATAAATTCTAAGGCTCAAACACTCAGGTCACTATGCTGTGAAAGCAAGCATTTTCCTGAACGAGCCTCAAGATCCATTTTTGAAACATGCCATCTATACTAAAATCGAAGTAACATAATCAAACTGAGAATTTTAATACTTGTAAATGCCACATTTGTTTAAGCAATTTCTCCTTCCACTGGAGACTTGTGACTGCTATATCTAGTGGTATCTCTGAACCATTTCACAGAACCTCTTAGGACCACAGTAGAGATGATCTTTCTAGGGCTTATGGCAAGCTCTCCCTTACACTGTGTTTATTTGCAGGTCTGGGCAGTGATAGAAAGCAGATAGTGGAGAAGAGGGACTGTCCTCTCTTAGAAGCAAACAGGCAATTAGGGACCAAAGGATGATCAAGGTCTGGATTGAGTTCAGTTTGGTGCCCATCCAAACTACAGAGCAGGGCAGACAGAGAACTGTGTCCTAATAGAGCTTGCTTTCTAGCGCCACACAAGAGTTTTTCTTCTCTCTTTATGCAACTCAAGCTGCTTGACATAGGAAGCCCAGAGCATCTGTCTTCAGAAGGAAGCTTTATTGTGTGGGGTATATAAAAGGAAACAGGAGAAGAAAGAAAGGAAGGGATGAAAGAAAGGAGAAGAGGGATGGAAAGATGGAAGCGGATGAGGAGAGGCCGAATGAAAGGTGGAGGGAGTAAGGTAGGGAAGGGAAGTAGGAGGTAGGCAGAAAGAATAAAAGGATGGGATGGCCATTTGATGCTCTCCCCACCTACTCAATTCTCTTTTCTTCTCATTCTAGCTGTCCCCCCATCATTTTCCTACTTGAATTACCCTTGTTTCATTCAGGACAAGAGGATATTTGGAATGGGACAAGGTGGTGCACACGTGCCCCCTCCCCCCCCCCAGCCTTCTAGCACTTGGGAAGCAGAGGCTGGCTTCTCAGCCATATAAGGCTACACAGAAAAACTTGTCTTTAAAGAGAGGAGAGTGAGAAATGTGCACAGCATTGTAGGAAGGGAAGGAAAAACAGAAACCATCCTTCTGGGTAACCAGTATGGGCCTCACTTTCTACGTGAGGACTGTTGACCACATCAAGATTGCTAGAGGCTCTGACTTACAGGGACTTGACCTACCTGGCAGCCATGTTTGAATCACACATTGCTCTGTAGCCATTCATGTGTCTCCTTCGCTCGGAAAGGGCTATGCTAACGACCTTTGCTTAGAAGAGCCCAGAGCCTCATCTCAGCATCTATAAACACTTATCCTACCCAAGCAAACCAGAGTGACACGAAATGGAGCCCTGGCTCTCCACTCTGAACAACACTTGCTCTCTTCACTCCAATGTCAAGCTTCTGCTTCCCATGATACCTCTACTTCTAAGCCCTCCAAGATGACATGCCAAACCTGGTCATCAGTCCTGTGGCTCCACAGAGGGGAATGAGAAATGGGTGAACATCATACCTAAGTGCCCTCACACAGCAAGCCAGTTGCTCAGCCACTCTGTACACTTCTCATTTTCCTTATTTAAAAATGCAAAACATTCGATGACATTTTTATTTGAATCATGGCTAGACAGAATCAGGATCAAACCATCCCTACCCATTGTCTTCCTGGTCCTGTAGCAAATATCTCTTGTGTTGCCCTACCCTAGGCTTGAATTGAGCTCAAGATTTCCTGCTTTGCCAAGTAAGGCATGAGCCTCTATTTCTGCCATATTGGTTGCAACACAATCCAGGAAACTTGGGTGCTAGAGACTGACATAAAAGTTCAATAAATCCTTACTTTTTGTCTTTAATCATAATTGTAAAACAGTTCAAAACAAGAGGATAAATCCAGTCTGTCTTTGTTCTATGATCTTGGTATTTTACTCATGTTGCAAAGAAAAGTATCACAAAAAACTCTGTTCCACCTTCAAAAGCATGTACCAAATTACAGACAATCACTGACAGTTGGTCTTCACCTCAAGGGAATAAGCCTTGCTAGGAACTCATACAGAACTGTGAAGAGCCTTGTCTCATCAACCAGCTCTGTGCATAGATCGAGGGTTTTGCTCTAAGGTCTCCAGGGACACAGTGTGGCCACCTCCACCTCCAAGAAGCAGGCGCTTCCTGGGATCTATGTATACTTCTCAAATTTTCTTTCTTGGTTGTGTGTGTGTGCTCCTCCCACATTCTCTACCAAGGCTCATACCTGATCATGTGTGAGACTGACTCTTGAATATGATAAAATGCATGGGGCAGGATTCTTCTGCTCCTGAAGGTGATTGATGATAGGAAGCTGTAGACCCCTTTGAGCAGTGTGGTGGAGACTGTCTTTAGCATGCAGTGATAGAGAATGCTCTCACTTGGTCACAAGCCCTGCAGAAGCCTTGGAAAAAGACCTTGGGTGTGTGGGGCTGTTACAGAGTTCCTGAGTTCCTAGCATGGCCCTCATTTCTGGTTTCTGGACCTTTTACTTACTGTAGCTTTTCCAGGCAAGTGGCTTTTCACTTACAATCTTCAGGAAACCTAGTCTCTGTATGAACTAAGGTTTGAAATATGATGACTTTTACTTAAACTGAAAACTCAGCACAGGTAGAACACTCTGAGGCTCAGCAGGAGACAGGAAGCTACAGAATCATTTCCTGATAGCTGCTTGGACAATCCAGAGGAGTTCATATCTGCCTGTGTGGGTGGAAGGGCCTGCCAAGAGGAGATTAAACATTCAAGGGATTGTCAGCCATAACTCCTCTCCAGAATCCTCATCATACAAACATGTGAGGTTTCCCAGATGTGTACCTAGATATATGGATAAACACACTCACATATGTGCCTATATATGCATGTACAGTGGTTGAGGCATTGCACATAAGTATTTCAATTTACTTCTCTATAATTTAAGTTTATGTGGGGAGCTTTCCTGCTGTCATTAGGAATTCTCTGCAATTGTCTGTCATTTCATATTCACTCATGGTCAGAAACTTCTGCCATTCCCTCTGCCATGCTCATCAGGTTCTGTTCCAGGTTTGCAGAACTTCTGTTCGCCTTTCAGTCTTGCTAATAGAGGGTAAGATGGGTCAGCCCATCCTCTTGCCACATAAACGGGGTCCAGATAAATGGTCCTCGCCAGGATACATGGCGTCTCACGGTGTCCTGCTCTCTCCCCTTTCTCATAGTGCCTGGCTTCCCATATCCTGCCGCCACTGCTGCAGCTGCATACCGAGGGGCTCACCTTCGAGGCCGTGGTCGCACCGTGTACAACACCTTCAGGGCTGCAGCGCCCCCACCCCCAATCCCTGCCTATGGCGGGTAAGTGTTGCACCCACCGGGGGAGGGGCTCCCTGCACCTGCTCTCCCTCCCCCAGAGGCACGGAGTGTTTGCAAGCGCATGATGGTCTTGACCACCCCACCAGAACCTCCCCAGCATGCAGCCTCCTCACACGCCTGCTGCAAAGCACCTTGGAAAGAGTATTGAAAAATGAGTGTAATTTGTCTGGTCATGGTTGGTGCCTTTAAGCATTCTACATGTCACATGTTGTTATGTAAATTCTCTTTGAGACTGAATGCTGGAGAACAGAGAAATGGTTACAGCCAAAGATATATTTCTGATGATTGCAAGCATCTGGTTATTAAGGAGGTTGGACTATATTTACTCCTTGAATGCAAAGGGACATGAGGTTTCCCATACATAAAATTCACTGGGGTGATCTTGCTTCCCTCCCCATGGACATTTTTGCACTCCCAAGTACATGAACTTTTGCCTGAGAAAATTAGGTGTTGAATCAAACAAAACATTCAGGACAGGAATAAAATTCTGGTTAATTTGCCTTTTATTTCCCTTTTCCAAAATAGCCCATTCTGTCCTTTCTCTCTCCAACTGCCAATTGAGGCCTTCTGTGATTGGCTGTTGTTATGGACAACTAGAGGCCTGGTTGGGAAGTGGATTGGAAAGAAAAGAAGGAATGGGAAATGAATGAAGGGAAAGAAAGGTAGACTGACTTACAGGCAAGTTGCCCTGAAATGACACTTCTGCACTTCTATTAGGGAATCTTGGAAGGGCATTCCTCCACCCCTGGGCACAAAGAGAGGTATCTCTAAGTATAGTATAGTGGCCCTATATTAGGACAAGGTCTAGGATACTTATGGTTATTACTACAGGATAGACATGGGTGATGTTATCAAGTGGATAACATCCTTGTCTCTGAACATTGCTTAAACATCCTGTGGTCCTTATGATAGCCCCACCCTCAGGGCAAGGCACTGACTGGCTAAAAGTGCAAATTGTATTGGACTTACTGCTGTTGCATAGATGATTAGGCTATACTCAGGAGAATCTGATGCAAGCTTTTCCAGGCCAGTGACCAGCTTTTTGGTCTGCAGAAAGACTATGTTTATGCTCAAGACCATCTAAAAAGGGTTAAACGTATTTTCTTAAAAGCTTTGCTGCATATAAATCTTTTAGGAAATCTCGATTACCCCAGCTCACTCGCTATACTGATGACAAAGGGAAATATTCTTCTCATTATTTATTCACTGCCTTACCCACTCCAAAAGAGCTAAGCTGAAGTGTGTGAAAAACACAAAGGGTCCTGCAGGCTGGAGCATCCGCAGGAGTGAGGCTAGGGGAAATCACCAAAATGGGAGAATAAAGGCAACAGAAGAAACGGATCATGGACATCGAGTTTCCTGTGTTGATCATCAGTGTAAGTCAGAGCAAGGTTTCTTCCTGGGTCAAAATGACAGCAAGAGATATTGTGGATGATAAGAAAATTAGAACCAACAGGCTTTAAAGTCTCTCCATGCCCCCAATGTAATGTATCTGTATGCTATAGGAAGTATCTGATCTTTGACACTAATCTGTATAACACCCACCCAAGTATGAGCCCATTCCATACATGTTTTATGGAAGGCACTGGGTGGGAGTAGAAACAGATAAGTAATCATCTGGGTTTATGCTACTACTAAAGAAAGATTCATAAGCCATAAATGCAAAATAGCACATTTATACCACTTTGTTCTGTCTGGAAAATCATCATCTTAGTACATGGTAATTGTAGCTTTTCTGTATTATACCCCCAGTCAGTATCTCCCTACGATATTGAACAGGAAAAAAATAAAGTAAAATTATATGGCCTATCCTCCCATGAACAATTTATAAAAATCTCAACATAACACACCTGCTATAAAATTGAAATTTACTAACTTATAATGAATGTGCTCTTTGCCTGGAATAACCATGCATAACTAATGAATGCCACATTCGCCAGGGAGAAACAGGCACTTCCAAATGGTACACAACATGTTCATAACTCCTTTGAAAGGGATGAACGTGTAATATTTCAGGAGTCCTCCTAACTATCCTGGCTGCAATGGTGGCTTGTACTCTCCAGCTTCCACAAATGCACCATTGGTCTATGTAGAGTACGCCACAAAGCATAAATAACTGCATGTGCTAAGAAAAAGGTATTGAGCTTAACTGCTGGGAGAAGATCTTATGGCTGAAACTCTGGAGTCAGAAGTTAAACAGAGTTGTGAGTGTCAGAAGCTAAGGCAGTTAGCTCACTGAGGTAGACCAATTGCTTTGCCAGAATGAAGACCTGTGTTTGAATCTAACACCATGTAAAACAGCTAGGCATGCCTAAGTATGTCTGTGACCCCAGCATTGAGAAACTGGAGATATGCTGATCCTGGGGGCTCACTAGCCAGCCAGACTAGCACAAAAGAGCAAGCTTCCATAACAGTGAGATAGAGTTATAGGAGATGCATAGGACCCACACTGCCCTCCATGCGGACATAGAAACAAATTCATATGCAAGTACCATACACACCCATTGCGTGCATGCACATGCATGCACACACACACACACACACACACACACACACACACACACACAAGTAAATAAATGAATTATAAAGAATTCTCAATATGGGACAGAGTGCTGGAGTCAAGAATCCGTAAGACTCAAAGTATTGGTGAGCAATGGAGATTTGTTTAGCTGCCTATGTTTTACCAGATTCTAGACAGCTAGAATTCATTTGTATGCAATTGAAAGGGGTGAAACCACAATCCAAGAGGAAAGTTTCCTTCGTTTCCTCTTGAAAAAATGGCTCATTGGCTTAGATTACAAGGAAGGTAGCCCATCTTTTGGAGCAAACAGAGTGATACCCAGAACACAAATTTCCCAGAGGAGTGAGGTACTTGATCCTGGGTTGAGTAGAAGCAATAAGCAAAGATGCTACAGGTCCACCTGTTACCATGGCTTGCCATATTCATGAGAAGGTGGTCTAGAAACCATAGACTCCCAAAGCTACTATCTCAAAAGTCTGTTGGAGGAAAGTTTCGAAGTTTAACTGACACCTTTACTCCAGCTCTCATCAGCCAAGCACTCCACGCTTGGTAGTAGCCACATCTTGTTCTCTTGTTGTACGCTGTCTGTACCACATTCACAGGAATGTCTGCGGATGGGATTTGGACCCAATATACAAGGTGATGATCCTAACTGGCATGGTAGATTACCATGTAAACTACCATGTAGAAGGCTATTTACCAGAGAAGAGTCCTTAGCCAATCATGTGTGTTCAGACAAAGCACTCCAGAAGAGAAGACAAGGAGCTTATGTTTATCTCTTTCCAGACTTCCATATTAAGGTCTTGTCCTGGGAGTATCCATACACCCAGCTATCTCCATGTTTTCTAGGAAATGTTCTCACAAAACATTTATAGAGGAAGAATTGCTTTTTCTTAATATCACCAAATGAAGATACATTTATCTACAACCTCCTTTTCATACATTATCCAATATGAGTTTATGTTACTAATATTTCTAGCCCCAAAGGTATTCTGTATTCTAGATTCATATCGGACTTCTATATTTTTTCTCGCTGATAAAAAAATACACATATACATGACACACAGATGCACATACACACATACTCACATGTTATATGTGACATATAACAGACTTCATGGATACCTCTATGGAGCTTGGGGGTAGTCTTTGGAGATATACACCATTGACAAGAGTATCCAAGGAAATTCACTACAGACACTTTTACCTGTATCCATTTTTGCCCCACCCAGCAGTTAATCTGCATAGATGCATAGATTATCAAGAGGTTCTATCTTGTTTTCTCTGGCATACCTAAATAAAAGTTTTTGAAAATATTAATAAATGACAATCCTGGAGCAATACTTCTACCTATGGACAATAAAGGGATCAGAGAAATAAGCAGAATCCCCTAAATGCAGCCAGCCGCTCACTATCAGCTACCAACAGTAAATGAAGCTGACTCCAGAGAGTGAATGCATAGTAAATACAGTATTTTACCACCCCGGAAAGCTACAAGAAGATACACAGTTTCCTTGATAGGAGAGTAAAACATGCACCTGGCTCCATAGGGTTGATGAAGGATGAAATAGGAAGAGCCGTACAAGGTTATGGCTCAGTAAGGCCCATACTAGGACATGTTTACTGGACTGCAGCTAATCCTGTTGAGGTTGATGTGACTATCGACATTTTTGTAAGTTGTCATGCTTCCCTCTCTCAGTGCCCCCCTTTTCTTGAGGTGTACACAGGTTGATCTTACATTTCTGTCTTCATATATACTTTCCCTCTTTGCTAGGGAGCCCGTCCAGTTCACAAGCCTCATACTATCCCGTAGGCACAGACATAGTCATTGACAGATCCACACTCACTTCATCGTACCTCAGTTAGTGGACTGTCACAGCAGATCCAGTGGATGAGTGTTTTCCTATTTCCTGTTGTCTTTAGTGAAGTTTTAATGGAGAAGCTACAATGTCCTATCATCCAATGAGTAATATTCATGAAAAATTATCCATTAGGGGGTTGCCATTCAAAGGAGCTTATAGGTTGGCAATATAGGTAGAATCAGATACACACTCACAAGACTGAGCCCAGCATCCCATATTGGACACAGCAGTTAATCCCATTCCTTGATTAGCAGCACAGATTTTGCTTCACTACACATAATTAGTCATTAAGTAGGTACTTATGAAGTGTGTACTGTTTATGTCATATAGTGAAACAACAATGCTGTCCTTAGGAAGCATTGTAGCTACATCATAGATCCAACATTGGCTATGGGGCTTTAGTCTTTGTCTATGCTATCTATAACATTTGCTTTCCTTGTTGCTACTACAAAATATCAGACAAAACAAACTTAAGGAAGGGAGGAATGCTTTATTATGGCTTCCATGTGTGGGCAATCTTTCACAGCAGGGAAGACATGAGAACAGGAGCTTGAGGCAGCTGCTCACATTGAATCTTCAATAAGGAAGCAGAGAAAGAT